GATCTGGAAGGGAGCTTGGAGGTCTTCTAGTCCATCCCCCTGCTTAAGCAGTTGACCCTATACCATTTCAGACAAGTAGCTGTCCACTCTGTTCTCAAAAACCTCCAATGATGAAGCATCTATGACTTCGGAAGTCAAAGCTGTTCCACCGGTTAATTGTCCTCACTGTTACGAAGTTTCTCCTTAATTCCAGGTTGCTTCCGTCCTTGATTAGTTTCCAACCCTTGTTTCTTGTCTTTGGAGAATAATTTGCCCCCCTCTCCTTTGTGGCAGCCCCTCAAACACTAGAATACTGCAATCAGGTCACCCTTAATTCTTCTTTTCTATAGACTAGCTAGACCCAAAACCTGCAGCCATTCTTTGTATGGTTGAGTCTCCAGGCCTTTTGATCATCTTAGTTGTTCTAGAAATCATTGCCGATGGTTTTTCAGACCGCTTCCCTGTGTTCCTTCCTTTTCAGATTTGTGTCTCCGATTGCTCCAGCATATTCTGGGTGGTGCCTCCAACTGATTTAGTGCCTTCAAGTAAGAAACCTTCTGACGTTTGGAATCAGACAATGTGCCAACCCAGCATTGATCTCGAAACTACGAAGTTGGTAAGTGGTTGCCTTTGGATGAGTCCAATCTTAATTCTTTGCCTTCCCGGTAATCCTGAAGGGCGTTTCAAGTTTCCTTGGATATTCAGTGGGGCCTTATCTCAAAAGTGCTTTTTTTTTTTTCTACAAAAGACGACTGGACTGTTTTTTTCCTTGAGGAAGAAGAAGAAAAACTTTTGCTTCTCTCATCCAAGAAGCTTCATCAGTTCTGATGGTGGAAGGATGGAAGGATAGGTTCTGATAGGACGATTGGGGACGGGGCGATATGGAAGCATTGTATTTCTTTGCAGTCATCTGGTCATTTGTACTGTCTGTGAGAATCATTGAGGCCACATTTATCTTTACCTGAATCAGGGTGCAATTGGTTGTTGAATCTTCTTGGCAGTCCTGCAAAGGCTGCGTTGTAGACTGGAGATAGATGGTGTCTTATCCAGGGGTGGGTTTCTACCAGTTCTGTCCACCTCTGTAGAACCGGTAAGCTCTGAAGAGCAGCAGACATAGAACCGGTTCTATGTCTGTTGATGTTTTTGCCCACTCGCCCACCCGGGCTCTTACCTGACCTTTATTTCCTGATGTTTTTCAACTTCAGCTGCCGTACGAGGCACAGATGCAGTTTAAAAAGCCGGAAAAAAAGGGCTTTTTGAAAGGTTGCTTGTCTGCACGCAGCAGGCTGATGACGGTTTACAGGCGCGTGCCAGCAGCGTGCAGGGAAGCACATCGTAAATCACTAAACCTTGTCAATGACCAAACTGGTAGTTAACCCTGTCGCATCCCACCCCTGGTCTTATCCCTCCCCCTCTGTTGAGGGAAGGGTGTTGTTCAGTGCTAACGTAGATGGATCCTCTTTCAAACCAAGCGACCTCTCTAGCCAAAATGTGCACCTTGCATGTTTTGCACACAGACAATGGTCCTAGAGAGGACCACCGGTTTGAAAGAGAGGATTAAAAGAATCCATCTTGTTAGAATGGAACATACCTCCCTCAACGGAGGTGAGGTGGAAGAAGAGCCCAGAATAAGAATACAGTCTAAGAAAGGAGTCCTCCAACCTGTGGGCTGTAGTCGTACGACCGGGCCATGGCCTGTTGGCCAGTGGACCGCATGAGTGGCTGACCAGTGTTTAGCCCAGGTATGACAAACTCTATTTCATTGAGGGCCACATCAGGGTTGTGTTTGACCTTGGGGAGCGCGGGGTGTGTGTGGCCAGCTCAATGTCACTCGTGTCGGGGGTCCTGAGTGCTCTGAAAACAAAAAGGGGCTCCCAAGCTCTGTTTTTGGCTGCAATGGCCTCCTGCAACCCTCTGCCAATGAAAACGGAGCTCGGGAGGGCCGCACGCAGCCCTCCCAAGCTCCGTTTTCACTGGTAGAGGCACCGCGGGTCAGTCCTTTGCTGTTTCCAGGGTAGCCCTGCAGGCCAGATCGAAGCATCTCATGGGCCGGATCCTCTCCCCCCCCCCCCCCGGGTTTTGAGTTTGACACCTCTGGTTTAGCTTATTTCTTTCTAACAGGATGCCCTTGTTCCAGCTTTCCTGCCTCACTGTTCCTCGCCGTTTCCTTTAAACCAGCAATCCCAAACTGTTGCAGCTGGGAGGCCTGGCTGGAGGGAGGAGAGGGGAACTGGGCCGTGCAAGTGGCAAACTGGTTTAAGCACATGGGCAGCTCCCCTCGTGTGAGCAGTGGGCTGGTGGGCATGCGAGTACGCTCCAGCCCCGCCGTTCGTGTGAGTGGAGCTACGCATGCATGCTTGTGCACCCTGGCCCACTGTTTGTGGGAGTGGAGCTGCGCGCTGCTCACACGCGTGGAACTGTGCTTGGGCGTGCATGTGCACCAGGCCTGCCACTCATGCAGCCCAGGCGTGTAAAACTCGATTTCATTGAGGGACACATCAGGGTTGTGTTTGATCTTGGTGTGTGTGTGTGTGTGTGTGTGTGTGTGTGTGTGTGTGTGTGTGACTCCTGTTGGGGGCATTTGTGGTGGCCCAAGCGCTCTGCCTGCAAAAACAGACTCCCAACCTCCGTTTTGGGCTGCAACAGCCTCCTGCAACCCTCTGCCAGCAAAAACAGAGGATGGGAGGCATGTGGCCCTCCTGAGCTCTGTTTTCGCTGGCAGAGGCATCGCAGGCTGGTCCTTTGCTGGTTCCAGGGTGCCCCTGCAGGCCAGATCTAAGCACCCCATGGGCTGGATTTGGGCCCTGGGTCTTGAGTTTGTCACCACTGGGATAGGCCACAATCTGGTGCTGGGCCGCAGCCAGGAGGTTGGGGATCCCTGCCTCAAATGTTTAGCATTTGGGTGCTTGTTGCTTTTAATGTATGTATGTATGTAATCTATGTATATATGTGTTGTGGCTCGGAGGTTTGAGCCTGCTCTGTCAGAGGTCGAGGACTTGGACAATGAGGAAGAGGAGGATTTGGCTTTGAGGTTTGAGCCTGCTTTGTTAGAGGACGAAGACTTGGACAATGAGGAAGAGGAGGATTTGGCTCTGAGGTTTGAGCCTGCTTTGTTAGAGGATTTGGAGTTGCCTTCCTCCCCAGGACTTTCCTTGTTGGCAAGACCTTCCTCCCCGGTTGTGCCTCAGGTGTCAGCAGATAACCAGGAGAGCGTATCAGAGCCTCTGACTGAAGATCAAGCTGAGGAATGCTGGCTTGATGCGAGGCAACGGCGCAGGCAAAAGTGTGAGCTGCAACGCAGAAAGAAAGGACGAATCAGAGACTGAGATGAGGGACTGACACGCCCCACAGGGAATAAAAGTGGGTGTGTTCGCTCTGGGAACTTGTTTGGGACAACGTGTTACTTAGTGAGAGAAGCTTCGTAGTATCCTGTGTGCGGTGTCAGCTTGTGATTTATATTCCTGCTTTCTTGTCGGACTTGGCAGACAGCGTGTGTGAGACTGCCAAGAACTTTATCGGCTCAAGGAATTTAACTCTATAATTACTGGATTTGCTTGCTTGTTTGTATTCAGCTGGAATTTGGACTTCTCGCCTCCTTTGTAAAGGTGAGACATAACATATATGTATATCTGCAAATCTTGGAGTCACCTTGAGAATAGTAAACTCTCCTCTTTTTCCCTTAATGACTTTTGTCTCGTTGCAATATTCCTGGCACTTCACCCCAATAATTCCTCCATTAGGGGGCCATTCTATTATCTGAATGCAACACTGCTAGGATTCTCTTGCTTTTTTCCCCCCAGACCGTGTCAGAAATCTTCAACCAGCAACTTTGTCTTCAATTCACCATCCCAACCAGGCCAAGTAAGTGTTGATTCTGCAAAGAAAAAAAAAGACTCCACTGTTATGTTGCTGAAAATGACAGAAAGCAAAACAAATCTTAGACGGGAGATGTCAGGTTTTCAAACTTTTGCCTTACAGGTAGTCCTTGACTTACAACAGTTTGTTTAGTGACTGCTCAAAGTTACAACGGCCTTGAAAATAGCGACGTGACTATTTTTCCCCACTTGTGACCATTTGGCAGCAGCCCGACGGTCACGTGATTTACATTCAGATGCTTGACAACGGACTCACATTTATTACGATGGTTGCATAGTTCAGGAGTCAGTCATTTTGCGACCTTTGGACCAGGGAAGTCAGTCGGGGAGCCCAGATTCACTTAATAACCATGTTCCTCATTTAATGACTGCAGCGATTCGCTTAACAAGCGTCGCAAGAAAAATCGTCAAATGGGTGTCAGGTATTCCGGCGAGTTAATTCCCCAATTAAATCTCGAGCCAAACTTCCAAAACTTCAAAAGGATTTATTGGGAGTTAACATGCCAGCACTGCCTGGGTGTAGCTGACTCTGAGGCACATCATTCATTGTCACCCTCGACTCTGGTTTTCCACCCCACCCCCTGGGTGTATCATAATTAATATTCTCCAGTGGGACACATCCATAGCCAAGAGTCATCCATCATGTTCTCCAGTTACAATTTTGCGCAGCAGAAACTTCAGTCACCTAGTTACTATCTCTGAAAAACTATTTATGGAGTGCACTTTCGATTTTCAAGCTGCCACACTGCTCTTTCAAAACCCTTTCCTCCTCCCCCTTCCCTTTCTGTTGACAACTCTAAAAAGACCATAGAGATATTTTATGAGTTGGCAATGGACAAATTCAACTTAACACATTTTTCACTTAACATAAATATGGGGCTTGATTGTGGTTGTAAATTGACCTGCAATGCCCAAATCCCACAGCCAGATGCAAATAATTCTAATTTCTGGAGGCTGGCAGACCCTGATTGTGGTTACTCATTCTTAGTCACCTCTTGCCTGGATTGCTGCAATGCACTCTGTATGGGGCTGCCCTTGAAGGTCAGTTGGAAACTATAGCTGGTCCAGAGTGCAATGGTGTGAGAAGTTAAGGGTGCACTTGGTTACAAGCCCTGGTCCCTGTGTACTTTTGCAAGCTTTACGAATTGGACTCTGGGTACAATTCAAGATTCTGGTTACAGGTAGTCCTTGACTTACAACAGTTCCTTTAGTGACCTTTCGAAGTTAACAACGGCACTGAAAAAAAGTGACTGATGACCATTTAGACTGGCACGGTAGCATCCCCATGGTCACATGATCAAAATTCAGAAGCTCGGCAAACTGACTCGTATTTATGACGGTTGCAGTGTCCTGTGGTCCTGGGATTCCCTTTTGCAACCTTCTGACAAGCAAAGTTAATGGGGAAACCAGATTCACTTAACAACCGTTGTCACTAACTTAACTTCCCCTGAGTGGTTAGAATGCAGCACTTCCAGCTCTCACTGTTCACTTCCAGGAGTTTGATTCTGAGCAGCTCAAGGTTGACTCAGTCCCGGGGTGGGATTCTACTGGTTTGGACCGGTTCTATCGAACTGGTTGTTATGATTCTGCGCAGTTCGGAGAACCGGTAAATGTGCCCCTCGCGGGCCCCTCTCCGTCCGCCCTCGCCTCCCCGCCCAGTCAGTCTTTATCGTGCATGCCCGACATTGCTGACTGCGTTCTCCCCTACTCGGTAACTCCTTAAGGCAGTGATGGCTAACCTTTTCAGCTTGGTGTGTCGAAAATTGGGAAAAAGTGTAGCCTTCCTCGGGTCGTGTGTCACTTCAAGAAATATCAATAATTTGGTTTATGACGGACTGGGCTGGGGTGATCACACAGGGCTGTGAAACTCGTCTCCCTGGTCTCAGGGCTGCAGGTGCAGGATGTGGGGATCGGAAGGCCACCTTACAGGGCTGTGAACCTCATGGATCTCCTTTCCTCCTGTAGCGTTCCTGAGGTAATGAAACTGACAAACCTCAGTTTATGGCGGTTAAAACTGGTTCTCTGCTGCAAAGATCTTGCGGCAGCGGTGACACCACGCCTCCACGCAACAAGCAGGGAGCAGGGATTGGAGCAGAGCACAGGCAGCCTCTAAATGTGCAGGTTTTCCCCACACCAACAGGCGTGTCAGTCAAAGTGCCTCGGCGTGTCACGAGTGACACGCGTGTCATAGGTTAGCCTTCACTGCCTTAAGGTATTTCTTTTTTTCCCCTCCCGACGATCAGTTGTTCTTATGATCAGCTGTGCTGGGATCCCCGTCACTGTCTTACTGCTTTGCCCAGGAGGCTTCCCCGAGGCCCAGGAGGCAAAAAGGGGCATGTGGGAGTGGTGATGGTGATACTGTCCCACCTCAAAGTTCCGTTATTTTCCTTCCTGGGCCCCAAGGAAGCCCTCTGGGAGCAAAAACGCCCCCCAGGCAGCTTTCCTGAGGCCCAGGAGGCAAAAAATGTGTGGTGGGGGGAGGTTTGCTGCAAAAAAGCCACACCCACCCAGTAACACGGCCACACCCATCTATCCACGCCCACAGAACCGGTTGTTAAAAAATTTGAATCCCAACCCCTGACTCGGCCTTCCATCCTTCCGAGGTCAGTAAAATGAGGACCCAGATTGTTGGGGGGCAATAGGCTGATTCCGTAAACCACTTAGAGGGGGCTGGAAAGCACTATGAAGCGGCATATAAGCGTAAGTGCTTTTCCCTTAACAACTTTGGCAAGAAAGGTCATAAACTAGGGGAAAGTTCACTTAACAATCGTCTCGCTTAGCAACATAAATTTGGGGCTCAATGGTGGTCATAAGTCGAGGACTACCTGTGATATGGCTTAACAATCTGATTACAGGTAGTTCTCACTTACCAATCACAATTGCGACCAGCTACTTCGTTACTTAGCAGCATGGTCTCTAAGCAAAAAAAAAAAAAAAAATCACACGTGCCAGACTTATGACTTATTCACTTCTGCTTCCATCAATAAGCAAATCATAGTTGTAAAACTGGACACCAGGTGATTGCAGATTGCAATTTCATTTCCACAGATCTTCATGAGTTCTGCTTGTTGGAAGCCGCTGTGAAGTTTGCAAATGGGTAATCACGTGACCACAGGACACTGCAATGGCTGTAAATGCCAGGATTGTTTACAAAGCTGTTTTGTCCCAACTGTTTTAATTTTGAATGGTTGTAAAACAAGACATTAAAGCTAGGACTATCTGTATTTGCATAATAGTTCTGTAAATAATCAAGGTTTATTTGACATAATTCAGCATGGTGGGAATTCTCCAGGTTCCTTCGGTTAAACTGCCATCATCTGGGATTTTGGAGAGATCTTCTTGTCACTGCTTCTATCCCCTGTAATACAATCCCCCCCCCCCAGATTGGCTTATCTCTTTCCTGGCCTACCATAAAAAGGCATTGGAAATCTGTATTTGATTGTTGCTTTGATTATTGGTGGTATTACAGGTAATCTTTATTTAGTTATCACAGTTGGGATCAGCAACTGGCTGCTAAGTGGAAAAATCACATGACTGCAATTGTGCTTCCAATTTGTTTTAGCTTTCCTTTGAGTGAAGGGGTTACGAGAGAGTAAGCAGGCACCCAGTGGGGGATATTGTACATATAGAAAGGAATGTTGTTGCATCAGCTGGTTGCCTAGTTTGCTTGCAGCTCTGAATCCCAAGCTGCTTAGGAGGCAAACAAAAATCAAATGTGTAAAGTGATTAAAGTCTTGTCAATTATGGGCAGCAGCTATTAAGATTATAGAGCTGAACTTGTTAACTTAATTGTAAGCCACATAGAGTCACTTTATTGAGTTGGGTGACTATGAATATTACACAAATAATGTGGGTAGCATAATGTACTGTAATGGTGAGCATGTGAATGAAATAAAGAGGCAAAGATGCTGCAAAGATCATAAATACAAGCAATGGTCATAAATTATTGTTTTATCACAGTCCAAATTTCAAACAGCAGTCACTAAGTGAGGTCTATCTATAGTAATAGTGGCATAGTTGCAACTGAGGAGTTCATTTGGAGTATACAAAGTGAACAGAACTCACTGGTTTTCCATTCAGAAGCCACTCCTGATTAAATCGTGTTAGGATAATGGAAATTTTACCTGTAAGTCAGCCAACCATTGCTTCAAACAAATTGGTAGGTAGTCTGGGGAGCACATCAAGGTTTAGACTTGGATTCTTCCCAACCTTGTTGAGAGATATATTGCTAATCAGGGGTGCGATTCAACCGGTGTAACAACCGGTTCGTTGAGCACGCATTTTGCGCGCACGCTTCGCATTTGCTCCTGACCTTCTCCAGCAATCCCTGTGTATTAAACAGCTGATGCGGGGCAATCCGTTGTGCTGCACAAAACAGCTGAGCTTGAAAAACAGGATATAAAGCACAGCCTAGAGCCCGGGCGAGCGGGTGGGCCCAACAGCCGATCGTTGGAGCAAACTGAACCGGTTCATTCCCAGCTGATCCTTGGAGCTACTGGTTTGCCCGAACCAGGCCGAACCGGTAGAATCCCACCCCTACTCCTAATACATACTTCAAGGATTGCACAGCGATTGATCTAGATGCTCTCTGAGATTCCCTCTGAGTTGGTATGCAGGGAGTGAAGATGCTAGGCATGGCTTCAGCTTTGCTTTGTAACGCACCCAAACACTACTTCTGTATCTTTAAACAGGAAAAAAAAAAGGGCTGGGCACATAGATCCTTTAGGAGGTGAAAGATTTAGTGTGAAGATAAAGATCTGTTCCAGGATCTTATACACCAGCAAGTTGTAAGGTGTGTGGACTTCAACTCCCAGAATTCCCCAACCAGCATGACACTTTACACCACCTGTAGTTTGTTAATAGAAAAATAGAATCTTAATTGGAAGAAATAACCACTGACATTTTGGGTCAAGATAAAATGGAATGATTTGGTATCTTGGGGATACAAGGACTGGTCGCTTTATGATGCAGCAAGAGGGATTGTTTAAACCAGTATGTTGTCTGGGGAATTCTGGGAGTTGAAGTCCACCAGTTTTAAAGGTTGAGAAACACTGGCACAAATAGCTTTCATGCCAAAGCATTTCCAGTGTCTGCGGGGAAAATAAACCCCAGGAAATTGGAAGATAGACTACAGGAGAAGAAGAAAAAATGAATGCATTTGTTCAAAATGAATTTTAATCATTTGTAATTCACCCTAAAGGCTGGGACTTTGCAGAGAAAAATAGTTGATGTCAATGAATGTCCAGAATGACCCCTAATTTATATCCGCTCCTTTTATTTACAGTTCTTAATCGTTGCTTGCCTTTTTTTAACACCTCTGATATTGGAAGCTTTAGTGTGGGTACAATGTCAGCGAATGAAACCGTGGAGCACATCACCAACGGCACAGAGTAAGTTTTTTTTTAATAGTTTGAAATCTTCATCAAGGCCTTTCTCTGGGCAAATGTCTTACAGCCACAGTGGCAATTTCCCTCTCCTCCCAGACCTCGTTCTCAAAATCCAACTATAAAGGTTCTGACTGATGAACCCAACCAAGCAAGTATGGTCAAGATGATCCAATCTTCAATCAATCAATCAGAATAGAGCTGGAAGAGACCTTAGAGGTCTTCTAGTCCAACCCCCTGCTCAAGCAAGAGACCCTATACCATTTCAGACAAGTGGCTGCCAAGTCTCTTCTTAAAGAAACTGGACCTGTAATTTCTGGGGGCAAGCTGTTCCAATGTCTTTATGCTAATCTTTATTGAGTACATCATATTGGCGCAGATTGAAAGCAAAGCCAGCTCTGTTTAATACCCGGGCAATTCAGTATAATTAAAGTATAGAATCCTCCAGGGGTGAGATTCAACCGGTATTACTATTGGTTCGGTGAGAGTATGTTTTGTGCACGTGTGCACAGCATTTTCAAAAAAACCTCAGCTGTGCCGCCCGGACAGCTGACAAATACTGCGCGCAGCTGCACAGCATTTGAAAATCCTCTTCTTTTGCTGCTTTTTCCACTTCAGCTGTGCCACGCAAAGCAGTTGAGGTTGAAAAAAGCAGGAAATAAAGGACACCCAAGAACCCGGGCCGGCGTGTGGGCAGGCCAAACAGACGAACAAAAGGTTGTTGCAGCGATCCGGTTCAATGTCTGCTGCTCTTCAGAGATACTGGTTCTATAGAACTGGGCCGAACCGGTAGCATCCCACCCCTGGAATCCTCCCCCCCCCTCTAATCAGTGCAGGTCACGTAGTCCAATTAAATGTCCAGGTATTGTTATGGAAACCTCCACGACCCTAGCAACCAAATACTGGAACTCCTTTGGTTCAGGGATGGGATGCTGCCGGTTTGCACCAGTTCTAGTGATCCGGTAGTGCTGGTCACCCGTTGGTCCCGCCCACCCGCACCCACCCTTTCCTGTCCTATATTTCCTTTGCTTGTAGCTCAGCTGATAGGCGCGGCAGAGCGGATTGCCGTGCCTCAGCTGTTTTACTCACCAGTGCTGACGGTAAGGTAAGTTTCATGCTTAAAATTACCCATTTTAGAATGCTCCTTGCACACATGAAGCGCACACCCACAGAACTTGTAGTAAAATATTTTGAATTCGACCACTGCTTTGGTTCTCTTAGTTTCTTGCTATCTCCTGGAATGCACATTCCAATCTCCCTTATTCTCCCGGTCTGTTGGCAAGGTGTGAAGCTGTAAAAACGAAAATCAGCCTGCATACGCTTCAAAGCTTGACATCAACATGAAGAAAACAACACACCAACATAATGTAAGGTCTGGCTTAAGCCAAAAATGAACCAAAACAAAGACTTAAACGGAGGCTTGCAAATCAAAGAAAGTAGACTTAATCTTTGATCAAAGTTAAAGATCTGGGAAGAAATTCCTAGCGCATCACAAGAGACATGGGAGGAACATTCTACAAAATACAGAAAGATGCCCTGTCCTCCTTATACCTTTAAGGTATTCTTAGAAACCCTGAGTAACTGCATTGTAAAACTCTCTTAACTTAGATTTACATTTATCCTGCAAAAGACAAATCTTTCTCCGGCAATGTTTACTTTTCCTTATCTCTTCTCCAATTGTCCATCTAATTGATCACAATTGACCACTTAAGGAGGCTATTAACCGCATACTTCAAAGGTGTGGATTCCTCCGAATGGAGGTGCAATACATTCCCAGAGAGGTACGTTTCATTCCCAGGGGGTGATGCTGGGGTGAAATGTATCAATCCAGGAAAACAGATGGATTCAGATGGATTTAGATGGGACAATCATGTGTCTTAATAGGAGAGGGATGTAAGTGATCGCAGGCATGTGTTTATAATTGTTTTACAACAAGTGAAAGGTTAAGGAAACCTTTTTTTACAACAGCAAGATAAGAAATGCCTATGGACTGATAAATAACAGAAATACTTCTACATATACAAGAAAACAAATGCCTAACAGCAAGATAACAAATGCCTA